GCAGGGCAAAGTGCTGAGGTTGGATTGGTCCAGAAGCCAAATAACCTTCTTAGGATTGGTCTGGGGGGCTGCTGACATCACTGGCTTGCTAAGAAAACTGATGGCATCATCAAGGCAAGCAGTGACATCATCTCTTCCACTCCATGGCTGCAGGTCTGGACCAGACACCCCGGTGATGGGCATTCGCTGCTTGCTTTGCTGGCGGGGTGGCCTGAGCAAAAGGGGAAAGGCTGATCTTCTCCTGCCTCGGCAGCACCAGCAAAATCTGCCCGCCAGGAATATTTGTGCCCAAATGCAGCAAATAAAGAGGACGTGGGGGGTCCTCGAGGGGTCCCCGGGACTGCGGAGCCAGCGGTGGCTGTGACCTGCCTCCCACACAGGGGAAATCTCCTTCGTTAGCGGTGGAAAACAGCGGCGCGGGCATGAAAAGGCAGCGATAATATTTTATTTGTGCCTTTTTACGAGGCTGGCTCTTCAAAGCCACCCTGGCACAAGGAGGGGAGCGTGATATATTGGTGGCTGCTGGAGAGGTGGAGCGTGACAGTGCCAGAGGAGAAACGCGTGGCCGGTCTGTCCCCCCCTGCCCCAACGCTGCAAATCCTGCTGGTGTCCCCAGCTGCGAGATGTTGTCCTCAAATGTGTGTCCCCAAAGGGTTGCAGACACCAGCCCTGGGCCCCAGGGTGCCCCCGTTTTCAGACAGCATCCCTCAGCCAAGTCATGTCCCCAGGTCTGAGGCACTGTCCCCAACCCAAGACACCATTCCCAGGTCCAAGACACTGTCACTTGACCCCAGACATGACTCCAGGTCCAAGACACTGTCCCAAAATGCTCCTTGCAGGTCCAAGACACTGTCGCTCAACCCAAAGACACCGTCCTCCATCCCCAGCTACCATTCCTAGGTCCAAGACCCCATCACTTGTCCCAAGACTCCATCCTCCAACCCAAGACATGTCCCCAGGTCCAAGGCATTGTCCCCTACCGGGGACACCATCCTCCAGTCCAGGGCACTCCCAAGACACTGCCCCAGGTCTGAGACACTCTCCTTTGACCCAAGACACGTCCCCGGCTCTACGACACCATCCCAAGACACCAACCCCATGTCTAAGATATGGTCCTCAGCCTGAGAGACCATCCCCAGGTCCAAGACATTGTCCCCAAGTCATGTTCCAAGGTCCAAGACACCATCCCCGAACTTGGACACGTCCCCACATCCGAGATGCTGTCCCCAGCCCAAGGCATGTCCCCAGGCAGGAGATGCTGGAGAGCTGAGGGGCAGACAAGCAAGCAGGCAAGCAGCAGGCAGGGGTCTGGAGGGCAGAGAGGAGCTGCAGGGTGACATGGAAAAGCCAAACCTCTCACTTTCCAACAGCAAAACCCTTCGGGAAAGCGGCACGGTCACCCCAGCACAGCCTCATACCTGCCGCCGGAGAATCCCCACCGGCTGGGCTGGGCTCTCATCACCTTCCTGACAACCCTTCTCAGGGGGACTAAAACAAGCCGCAAGCCCCCAGTAAATCGCTGTCCTCTGCCTGTGGCACGTCCCGCAGCACCGGCGTCCCGGCCGGACAGACGATATCTATAATCCTGCCGTGCTGTCGGAGTAAATCTCGCGGCTCTCCCAGCATCGCCGAGACCCCAATAAATATCTCCATTTCCTGCTGTCCTGGAGGGAAGATCTGATCAGCTTTTAAATGTCAAACGTAAAGTAAAGTTTGTCATAAAAAAGCCTGTAAAAAAAAGAAGAAAATACCCCGCCAAGGCGGGCCGGGAGCCAGAATGGAGCATGGCAGCATCCGAAGGCGCTGGGGGATGTTTCGGGTACCCTGTCCCCATTGTTGTGGGGTGGGGGGGACACCCATTTTAACATTCCCCACCGCAAAAAGGCTCCTTCAAGCCGCTGCTCCCGGGATGAGAGGGAACAGGGATGGCATGGGTGCAGTGGGGGAGGTGTTAAGGGTATTTTTGCAGCGTGATTTAGTTGGCACCCCAAATCCCAATGGATAAATTAGGCGCATCCCAACCCTTCACTGGCACTACCAGGGGGGGCAAAAAACCCCCAAATCCCCCCCAAAAGACATCCCCCCCTTCAGTTTTTTCTCCCCGCCTGGCTCGCCAGCCGCTAATTCCCCTCCATTTTAATGCTTCCCATGACGCCATCCCATTTGGGCTCTTCTGAATCATGTCGTTTCATGTACTAATTAAGCAATAAGACACAACAGGGCATGGATTTATGGGGCCGTATTTCACGCATAGGTGTGCGGTGGCACCGCGTGGCTGCGAGCGCTTCCCTGCAGCCGCAGCACCCTCCTCATGTGGCTGCGGCACCCAAGGGTCCCGGATACCACCCTGGGGGTCCCGGTTGCCACCCTGGGGGTCCTCCTGGCTGCCATCCCAGAGCTGGTCGTGCCCCGTGGTGCAAACACGGGTGGGGAAAGTCCCCGCCGGAGCACTGCGGAGGAGGCAGGAGATGGGAGATGCAAGGGGAGGTGATGAGCACCCAAGGGTGCTGCTCTGCTGGCAGAGGGTGGGGGTTTTGGGTGCTTCGTGGGGGCGGTGGGTGCTCTGGGGGTGGTGGGGTGAGCAGTCCTGCTCCGCTCCTGCGCAGCATCCGCCTGGCTTGACGCATGCCGTGTCCCTCTGTCTGGATGCCACCCTGGGGACCCTGGCTGGGCATCCAGCCTGGATGCCACCCAAATCTGGGGAAAGCAGAGCCAAGTTGGATGCAGGATCATGCACACGTGCCACTTAGTGTCACCCGCAGCCCAGTGTCACTCACAGCCCAGTGTCACCCACAGACCAGTGTCACCCACTGTCCAGAAATGGGCCCAGTCCTGGCATGGCTGGACCATCACTGCCCTCTACCCTCCCATGGCAAAATGGCAGTCAGCCCCTGGCACCACACCGTCCCCGCTGCACCCCGGCACCCTGGGCCAGGCCCTGGGGACAGGAGGACCGGCGAGGGAGAGGTCCCCGGGGCTGGGGTGGGAGGTGGGAACCGGGGGCAGTGATCCCTGGGATCCAGTTGTAGGTGTGATGGTGACCCCCATGATCCAGCTGTGAGTGTGATGGTGGTCCCTGGGTTCCAGCTGTGGGTGTGACAGTGACCCCCACGATCCAGTTGTGGGTGTGGTGGTGATCCCTGGGATCCAGCTGTGGGTTTGATGGTGACCCCCATGATCCAGCTGTGGGTGTGATGGTGGTCCCTGGGTTCCAGCTGTGGGTGTGACAGTGACCCCCATGATCCAGCTGTGCAGGTATGATGGTGATCCCTGGGATCCAGCTGTGGGTGTGACAGTGACCCCCCCCAATCCAGCTGTGCTGGTGTGGCATGGCCGGGCGATGCAGGGGTGCCTGTGCTCACACCCACGGGGGGTTGTGTGTGTGTGTGTGTGAGCCGTTGTGCCCGGTGTGGGTGACTGTCCCTCCACCGCCTGTCACGGACCCTCCGGACGCAGGGGGGGATCCCCCCGGCCTCCCAAAACCGCCCTCCCCCGGTCCCTCGGGGGGGGTCCGTCGAGGCGCGGAGGCGGTGGGAGGCAGCCCGGTCCCCTCCCTGTCCCCATCCCCGTCCCCGTCCCCGTCCCCGTCCCCGTTCCCGGGGCCCCGGCGGGGCCGGTCCCGCTCCCGCCGCCGCCGCCGCCGCCTCATTAGGATGCAGCGCGGGCGGCGACTGCGCCAGCACCGGGACGGGGCCGGGGACCGGGAGCGGGGAGAGGGACGGGGACCAGCACCCCCCTCGC